AACTACGTGGGCTTGAGGAAAGAGAAGAAACCAATAGTTTTTGTTTGTTTGTTTTCTATGCTACCTATATGCCAGGCACTGTGCTGGGTAACTTTTCCATAAATGTCTTTATTTAATCTTTTTAAAAAATTTTGCCACAGGGCATGTGTGCTCACCAGCGAGTGACATGGAGACAGAGAAAGGGAGAGGGAGAGAGCACCCCCAGTGGGGTGTGGTCATGCTGCAATCCCTTTTTTCTCCATTTCTCCCTCCTGTCAGGATTTTGGAATGTGCACAGACACGTGGCCAATGTGTTTCTCAAACCATTGGGGCCAGGATTCCTACTGCAGTCGGCCACAGGGGTCTGGCTCCCTTAGTCACTAGGTTACTGGGCTGGCCCAATTGCTTCCCTTCTCTGGATCTCAATCTTCTCATCTCCAAAATGTGAAAGTTGGTCTAGATAATCTCCTAGTTCTTTCATAGCTTTAAGAATCTATCTTTTCAGCTGCTGAGACCAGAATTAGAACCTGTGGTCAGCCTTGTGGGATCTGGCTCTCTTAAACATCAGGTCACAAGATTGGCCTATCCTTATTTAACCTTTTAAAAATATATATGTATTTATTTATTTAACTCCATTTATTATTATTATTATTTTAATTTCACCAGAGAGAGAGAGAGAAAGGAAAGGCGAGAAAGCAAGTCGCCAGGTCCAGGACTTGAACTGTGGTCGGCTATGTAGGAATCCCAGTGCCTTTAACCACCACGCCACCTGCTGGCGCCCTTATTTAATCTTTAAGGCAATTTTATAAGAGTTGTTATAATAATAGTACCTACTCTATAGGGTTATTGAACACGGAAATCACACTGAAAGCATTCATTATTACTTTTCAATTTCAATGCTGAAGAAATGGAGACAAGAAAGTAAATGACTTGACAAAAAGCCTGAGAGCTTGAAGTTGTAAAACCAGGGGTCAGATCTAATTCCCATCAGTGTGGTTCCAGAGGCATGCCCTGACCCCTTCCATCACGTTGCCTCTCTTTTTTTTAATTTTTTTTTTTTGAGAGCTTGTGCACTTGCCAGAAAGACAGAGAGACGGAGAGACAGAAAGCGAGAAATCACCTCCCGGGGGGATGGCCACGCCACAATCCCTTCTCCTCCATTCTCCTCTCGGGATCTTGGGCATACATGCACATGCGCCCGGCATGAGTTTAAACCGCTGGGTCCGGGCCTCGCACCGTGGTCGACTATGTGGGAGTCCAGTGACATAGCCATTACACTAACTGCTGGTCCCACGTTGCCTCTCTTCTAATCTCTGGTCTTCACAGCCAGGTTCTAGTCTCCATCATTTGGGATTGGAGATGTCTTAGACCATCTCAGCAGTGACCTGAATAATGACGTGGGTTTATTGCTCCTAAGCAGCCCTTCAGTCAATAGAACCCCCACCCCCACCCAACACAAGGCTACCCTACCTGTGAGAAGAGACCCCTCCATCCTGTTCCCAGGAAAGCCCCAGCTGGTTCAGCCTCATTCAAAACTCAAGAGATTTGTCTGAAACCAGCCCATTTGGGGTTGGAGATGTAGTGAGTATTACATTCATCCCTTCAAGCCACCACACACAACAATGTTTCCGCCTGCACAGAGGAAGTCCTTGGATGGCACTAGAGAGAAGTTAGGAACTCCTCGGTCCAGTCTTCCAAGAAAGCACTCTGAGGGTGAGAACAGCAACAAACCTGCCCCTTGAGTTGGCTGCCCATCCTAGTTCTCTTTCACTCCTTTAGAAACTGGCATCTGCATTATCCTGATCTTGAACACTTTAGAGGCTGAGCCATTAGCACAGTAGGGGAAGATAAGACATAGCATGCATAGTACAGGCCACCCTCCTCCCATTAAATACATGTTTTCATCACTTACCCTGATCAAGAGGTACATTCGGTCTTGGGAAACAGTTCTCAGAAGCCAGCGTATTTGGAGATGCGAGGGTGAAGGTTTTAAGGACCACTTGGATGCTGGAGGAAGGTGACTGGAATTCCACCTTTCCCCCTTTTATGGCCATCGTCACTCAGAAGTCTGAACTCTATTCACCTGAATGTCATTACCTTATTCGACTTCAGAATGATTAGGATGATGTCTGCCCTTTCAACAACTCCATTTTCAAGGAGTAAGCTTGTTCACATGCCCTACTCTCCTCCCCCAGCCATTCTAACTGCTGGACGCCTTAGAGAACCAGATGAGAGGTTTCTCCATGCCTTGCCAATGAGAGATATATTTGGGAGAGTGAGGACCAAGAAGATCACCCAGGAATGTCTAGAGTAAGTTTCATGGAGAGGATCTAAGCAAAGACAGAGAAGCCAGAGCAAGCACATGATAGACAGGGTGCTGAGGCTGCAGGAGTAGGGCGGGTGGAGCTCAGGAGGCCAGCGTACTTTAGTAGAGGCTAAGTGGAAAGGTGTCAGAGCTTGAAATGCATGGACCACAGGGGAAAAGAACAATCAGAGGATGTTTAGAGATACCTGCCTGAGTTTAGCCTTAGTTTTGTGGTTGATGGACAGTTGTCTACTTTGACTGAATTCAGCAGGCAGAGAGAGAATTCAATCACAAATTCATGGGAGTCTAGAGGGTCTGAATACACAGAAGGTTTTATCCATTCATCGTTAAAGCAGGCTTGCAATTAGCTGGTGACCTACTGAGCTCAGACACTGTATGATAGGCCAAGAATAAAGAATAGGGGTTGCATTTCTTTTTTCCTTTTTTTTAAAGAGAGATTTTTGCTATAGGGCACATGCGCTTAATGGAGAGACAGAGAGACAGAAAGCAAGAAATCACCCCCCAGGGGGGATGGCCATGCCACAGTCCCTTCTCCATTCTCCTCTTGGAGTCTTGGGTATGCACGGACATGCCCAGTGTAAGTTTTAAGTTGCCGGGTCTGGGACTCGAACCATGATCACCTATATGGGAATCCAATGATATGACCATTATGCCACCTGCTGGTCCCAAGGATTACATTTCTTTAATTCCTAGTCTAATAAATATAGACTGTGGAACATAGAGGGAAAATAGGCTAACATATCTATCGGATTGGCCAGTTATTTGGTATTCATTGGCAAGGCTTAAATAATTAGATAATTAATTAGATCTGACTCTCGTCATGAGAAGACAGACCTTCTGTGTAGAAACCTAGCATCTTCCGCCAATTCCAGCTTGCCTCAAAAAGTGGGAAGAAACGGGGAGGGGAGGAAATAGGTCACGTGTTTTGGGTTTTCAGAGAGCCGCTTTTTGCAGTGGTTGTCTTTGGAAAGAGAGTAGTATGACCTCAACCAACTCTGGTGTGTTCAATTCTCTGGGTCTGTTTGGTTTTGTAGAGGTTTAGATTCACACTGTGGGGCTGACCTGAGGATCCCCATAGGGCATTCAGGTCACTGAGGACTGATGGAGGACAAATCTTTTTTTTTTTTTTTTTTTTTGTTATAGGGCGTGTGTGCTCACCAGAAAGACAGAGGGAGACATACAGCAAGAAATCACCCCCCAGAAGGAATGGCCACGCCACAATCCCTTCTCCTCCATTCTCTTCTTGGGATCTTGGGCACGCACTCACACGCGCCCGGCATGAGTTTAAGCCACTGGGTCTGAGACTCAAACTGCGGTCGACTACATGGGAGTCCAGCGACATAGCCATTACGCTAGCTGCTGGTCCCATGGAGGACAAATCTTAGGGTCTCACAGGTGACTCTGACTCACCAGCACTGGGTTTCTGAGATCTGTACTAATGACCCTAGACAGTGCTGGCAGTACCACTTACCTCACCATCCTGGAACCTGTGTGTCAGAAGCCATGAAGAAAGCCTTGGGTCTCACATGAAAATGTCTAGAGTGAAGTCATCGTAATGTGTTAGATTGGAGGGATTGTTTAATTGGAGGAGAAAAAATCTAGATGATTCCATCCTGTGTTCAGGGACATCCTGTGTTCAGAGCCATTTTCAGGCTCTTTCTCCTCCTCCCTCCCCCCACATTCTCAATCAGCCCAAACAGCCATGGGTAAGCTCTTTCACTGTTTCCAGCTGGGATTAAGGGATTGCTGGTCTTTCCACCTGGTTTCAATTACACCACGCTCAGATATACCTTGGGTCCCTTTATTGAGTTTAACTTAGTTTTGGAAGGGTAGAATTTGCTGTGGTTTTCCTGACCAGGGCGCTGAGCGTGGGGGTGACTTTGGCGCAAGGTAGGAATAGGAAAGGGGGAAACTGATGTGAGCCATCTGGATATACATCAAGGGGAAGCGTGCCCAACAAGACCAAAGCCACTGCCCTTGAGCGGTCCTTCAGAGAGAGAGAGCTGAGTGGGCAGCGAATGGAGGGAAGATGGAGGTCAGGAAGGGGTTATTATGACAAGGGTTAATAGGAAGATGAACATGAGCAGCAACATTGCAGAAAGCACGAGGCAAAGGATGAGGTGTGTCCTGGATGTGTGAGGACTGCTTGGAAAACTCATCTGGTCTCCTGGGTGCTCTTGATCGTTGGCACTCCTACAACAAGCAAGAGGAGAGGGACATGGTGTCAGCAGCCCGCATTCCGTCGCTCACAACTCCCTCCAAGTGCTCAGATCCAGACTTCCCCACCCCTCCTTTCCGAGGCATCACTCTGACTTTCCTGAAGATGGAAGGGATACGACAGGCAGAGGCTCAGGCTACAGGTGAGCATAGGGATGGTCCACATTACTGGCAGGTGGTCAAATCTGAGGGCACTCCAAATTGGCTGGTCTGTACTGACAATTCATCAAGAAGTCACATTTCTGGCCGAGTGGCGTTTGTGGTTTTTACAAATCAGAAAGAGCTCTTTTCACTGGTAGCTAAGAGCCAGGAGGTTACTTCTGGACAAGTACTTTAACCTAGCTTCTCTGTTTAGGACAATGACAAACCAACCAGGCTCTCAGGAGGTGCTGCAGGAAGCCTGCTCTTGTTATCCCTGTGTTTCACTACCAACAGGTCCCATTGTGACCCAGGGATGGCATCACTCTGCCTACAGAGGAAGGGGCAGCTAGTGGCAGGGCCTGAGATGGGGTCAGGGAGCTGGTAACATCTGGCAAAGCCACTGTCCCATCATGCAAAGTTAGAGACAGGTGGCGACTGAGACTGAAGACCAGCACCCCACCGATGACTCATATCCCAGATTCCCAGGGAGAACCAATGTGGAAATGCATTGAGGTAAGGTGAAAGTGTTTACATCTTCACATAGTACAGGAGAGTTAAATGTTTGAAATTGTTCCAGGAATCTAGATTCCTCTAAAATGTGGATTGATAAGAGATGGACCTTAAAAAGGTGAGTGTCGCATGTAATTACTAATTCTCTTTTTGGCTCAGTTACCAGGGGAGGGCAATTATAGACCAACCCTAAACAAGGAAAGGCTCTGCACGAAAAGGAGGTAGCCTCCCAGTCTTTATCTTCTCTAGTGAAGGAGCCCACCCTAGAACTCAGTCCCAACCAACATCCACCAGAAAGTCAGAAGTTAAGCCAAGGGTGACAGTCTTGGTCTTGATTTTGCCATTTGCCCCTAACCAAAAGTGGGAACAAGTCACTCAATCTCTTAAGTTCCCAATCTATAAAATATGTATATTCCTACCTGCCCTACCTACTTCGTGGAATTTTATTAAAAAAAAAAAAAGGTGAGTATGCTTTACAAAGTTAACAAGGCCTCACCTCTCTAATGGAAATTCTTCTTAATCACTATCATAGTCACTCTTTCTTCAGCCTGGGTATCAATGAGGACACAGGACAAGCACTGCCATGCAATTAATTGCCTCATGTACTGCTTGTTGTCGCTTTGTTGTTAAAAACAGGTGTGAAATTCTCTAGGGCTCAGAAAGTTTGTGGACACTCTCCGAGCCCGTACAAACCTCTGCTGGTCAATGAGAACAAGATCCACTTTCAGTCTCACGCTGTTCTCTGGTTCTTGTTTCTCGTGAGTTCATTCAGGAAAATCCTGAGGGGTGAAGGCCACTGAGGGGGACCCACCAAACTCTGATAATGCCAGTAATTTTCTTAATCTCTTCAGGCCCCAGCTGCCTCATTTATAAAGCCCTGCCACCTGGGCTCATGGTATTAGATGAAATAACACCAAGTAAAATACTTAGCACTATGTCGGCATCCAGTAAACATTAGATGAAATTATGGAGGCAGAAGAAACAAATTTCTGGAGTCCCATCTCTTCGGTGCCTCACAAGTGTTTTCTCCTTGCTTCAAGGTACCAAGATGCGCAGATGCTTCAAATTGGGACCCACAGGGCCTGGAGGAATGATGGCTATGGCATTTCTGTCAAATAACCAGTAGAGGGAGCACTCGAGTAAAACTAGTCTCTGGCCCGCACTTCCTTCATTTCTCTATAAAACACATCTCTGCTTATCAGAGGCTTCCTCTCCATCACCAGAAATCTCTTACTTAGAGACAACTGGAACCCTCTGCAAAGGACCTGAATGCAGGCCTGCTGTCAGAGAACCCAAGGGTTCTGGAACTTTTGAGGCACCTAGAGTCTCATGTCAAGGTTCAACTCTTGGGCTTGGGCTCCATTTACAACTTGGGATAGAAAGAACAGTTCTTAATAGTCTCCTGATCCCTGGAGACTGGAGGCTGAGACTTTGAAGCTAACACATCTCTGACCATTGGAATAGTCAATACATGCTAGCATTCCAACATTCTATACGTTGGTTTCCCACAAATACCCACATCCACAGCCACTTTGTTGCAAAGAAGTCACGGAGGCTGGACATTCTCTCCCAAAATGATTGGCATCCAGGTGGTTGTGTATCCCACTTAACAGGAGCAGGTTGAAGGAAATACCTCCTGCCTGCTTTTAGCAGCCCTTAAAAACTTGTCTCTGATGAAACTAAATTATGGTCATGGGATCTCAGACAAAATGGCTGCTGAAAGGCTACAAGAGAGAGGCTACTGAGACTCTGAGTCAAGCCTTTCCTCAGTTCCTTTGCAGCTCAGATTCCTTAGGTCAACCAGTTGGCTCACCTGCCAGGGCACAAACCTTTATTTTCACACTTATTTTCTGGCTCACAATTAATCAATGCAATAGTAGGAGCCCCAAGAGATGATAAGAGATCTTTTTGCTCTTTCTTATAATTAACATTTGCTCACTGCCTGATTTTGATTAGCAGTGGCCTCATTTCTTTTATGGTACCCAAGAGACCCCGTGCCTCACCTACTTACTGGATGATACACAGAAGGAATCCAGAATGAGACAAAGACTCGCTATCCAGGAAGGTTAAAAATGTGTGATGAGAGCTCCTCTCTCCTTTTCTGCTGGCATGATATGCAGGGTAACAATAGCTAGTATTTCTTGTTTACTAACCCCAGGTGCTGTGTCAAGAGTTATGTGTACATTCCTCATTCCATCTTTATGACAGCTCAGTGAAACAGCCCTGTTACAATTTGCATTTTCAGATTGAAAAAAAATACAGAGCAGCTCCACTTTGGGCCCTGGTTGGGTTCACAAAGACTCATTAGAGAAGTTCCCTTCTGCAATGGGAATAGTGGGACACACATTGCTAAGATCCAACCAGGATGAATGGAAGCATCGGATGGTCCTTCTCACTCCATTGTCTCAATTTTTTTCTTTTACTTTTTTTTTTTTTACATTTTTTGCCATAGGCTCTATATGCTTACCAGAAATGGAGAGAAGAGAGAGGGGGAAAGTGAGGAATCGATCTCCAGGGGAATGGCCATGCCACAATCCTTTCTCCTTCATTCTCCTCCCAGGATTTTGGGCATGCACAAATATGTGCGTGGTGTGTTTCTCAAGCCGCTGGGTCTGGGACTTGAACCACAGAGTCAGCCATATGGGATCCAGTGCTTTAAGCACCATGCCACCTACTGGTCCCCATTATCTCATTTTCACAGGGCAACTGCAACTTGTCCCAGGAGGAAAAATGACCCCCAGCACAAAACGTCTTATCTCCCTTTCCCACTACAAGATGCTCTCTCAGACACCTCTTCAAGTCACACGGAACTAAAGGGATTCATTACCTCTTTCAAAAAATGTAATTTATGAAATTATGTAATCCATAATTTGGAAATAATCAGAAACAATAATCTCTAGTTCAAGGCTAGATTATTATTTTTTTTTTTAGGTTTTTGCCATAGGGCATATGCACTTGCCAGAGAGAGGGAAAGTGAGAAATCACCTTTCAGAAGGAAGGACACACACCAACCCCTTCTTCATTCTCTTCTCAGAAGGGCATGCACGCACGCACACATGCCCGGCGTGATTTTCAAACCACAGGTCCAGGACTTGAACCACTGTCAGCCACGTGGGAGTCCAGCTCCTTAACTACTATGCCACCTGTGGCTCCAACAGTAGAACTTTTTAGGTCCTCTGCCTAATAGTAGAAGATAATCTTTGGGAGCTGACACTAAGAATCACCTGGGGTAGGTAATGGATTTTAGCAGAGCAATTGAGGCATCGCTCTATCTTCCTTATCTGTGATTTTGCTGGGTTCTATTCACGCACTGCTGGTTAAGGGTCAGTGCTGACTTTTTGTAGAGCTGACATCACAGGAGCCGCCTCTTCTTAACCTTAGACAGCAAGAGCCTTGCCTTTAATCCCCCAGTGAATCTGGCTGCCTATACTTCTTTTTCACTTCTTAGCTTCTACTTCTTTTTCACTTCTTGACATCAACAGGGGTTGACCGTTGAAAAAGTGGGCTTCTAGGGGCCAGCAGGTGGTGTAGTAGTTAAGGTACTGCCTATGGCTGACCATGGCTTGAGTCCCAGACAGAGACCAGAGAAAGACAGAGAGAGACAGGCACCGTCAACAGGGTCCTCATGCCACAATCCACGCCCAGACTCAGCCAGCCCTGGGTCATGTGCACTCATGTGCCCAGTGTGTTCAGGGAGATCTCTAGACATGAGTCTAGAACTTCCTGTGTGGATAAGCCTTGCAGTGTTGTGTTACCTCTCTGCACCATTGGTCTCAAGGTGGGTAAATTTTTTAAAAATCTGAGAGTTGTTTGTTTGTTTGTTTGTTTTTTAAAGAGAGGTTTTTGCTATAGGGCACATACACTTACCAGAAAGACAGAGACAGAAAGTGAGAAATCACCTGCCGGGGAGATGGGAGATGGCCATGCCGCGGTCCCTTCTCCTCCATTCTCCTCTTGGGATTTTGGGCACATGTGCCTGGTGTGAGTTTTAAGCTGCTAGATCCAGGACTCCAGCTGCAGTTGACGGCATGGGAGTCCAGTGACCGTGACCATGACACCATCTGCTGGTCCCAAACTTCTGATAGCTTTTAAACTAGCAAATTAGAGTCAGAGAAGCCCTCTTAATTTGTTAGAAATGGCCAAAGAAGGGGTTTTCAGCAAAGTATAGAAGTGATTTTGATTTTCCATTCTGTCTTACATTATCACCTCCCTGAACTATTACTGTTTTCCAGATTCATGCAAACTCAATATAGAACACTAAACAGGAGCAAGCAGTCTTCGTAGTGAAGTGGAAGCCTAACTCCTATCCCATATTGAGGAAAGGTTTAGGGCATGTGCACTTGCTGGAGAGACAGACAGAAAATGAGAAATCATCCCCTAGGGGCATGGCCACACTACAGTCCTTTCTCCTCCTTTCTCCTCATTCTCCTTTCAGGTTTTTGGGGCATGCAAACACACACACCTGGTGTGTTTTAAGCTGCTGGGTCTGGGACTTGAACTGCAGTTGACCACTTGGGAATCCAGCCATGTAACCATTACACCATCTGCTGGACTGGAGGCCAGTAGATCTTCTCTGGCTCTGTGATTCTTTATTATTTTATTTACTTTTAACTTTATTTATGATTATTTTTAAAATTTGCTAGAAGAGACATGCTTTCACTAGAGAAAGATAAAGAGGGGGAAAGAGGGAAAGTGCAAAAGTAAGCCACCAGGTCTTGGACTCCAACCATGATTAGCCATGTGGGAGTCCAGCACCGTAACCACCACACCACCTGCTGGGCCCAAGCTCTGTGGGTCTTAATGCCCAAGATGTGATCAGGATAAGTCCTCTAGTTCTCTGACCCACGTGTTCTAACATAATCATCCTATGGCCTTCTAATAGGGTGAATCGGCCTGACCTCACCAATGTTACCAAGAATCTCTGGAAGGAAATATCTGATGTACGGAACTTGTTCTCATTTCTTGACTGGTAATATCTATACGAATTAACATACATAATCTGATGGCTGTAAGGATTCCTGATAGGGTGGAACAGAGGGGAGATAAGTTTGGAGTAGAAGAAGTCAGCTATGGCGGTTTATTGGTCAGGCAATGGCTTTGCAACAGTACCGGAACTCAGGGCTTGCTCACCAAAGGAAGAGGACTTTTTTTTTTTTTTTTTTTAAGGTTTTTGCCACAGGGCATATGCACTCACAGGGAGAGAGAAAGTGAGAAATCACCGTATCACTCCTCCAGAGAAATGGCCACACCATAATCCCTTCTCCTCCATTCTCCTCACGCACGCACATGTGCCCAGTGTGTTTCAAGTCACCGGGTTTGGGACTTGAACCACAATTGTCTATGTGGGAGTCCAGTGATGTAGCCATTATGCCATAAGCTGGATCTGGCAGACTTCTTTTAAAGGCCTCTTTTACCTCCTGGACTATGAGTGCTGTATTGGTGAGCAGGAGCCATGTCTTAGTACATGGATCCTCAGAGCCTATAAACTCCCTGTTCTCTAAGGGACCTCCCATGACCACGTTAGGGATTACTTTCTTCAGTTCTTCACTAGGGAATGAGATCATTGAAACTCAAGATTTGGCTGAGGGGTAGACATTCATTCTTGCCTCCAAGGAATCACTAAGTGGCTCTTATGATATCCAAGGAGGACCTGGAACATCTGCCCAGTGGAGAAAAGACTAGTCTTGTCTGTAGTCTCCTGTGAGACAAATGGAGGTGCTCTCACACCCATAAGCTTGAGGTCCAGACCTGTGTTAAGCAGTAGTTGGATCCCCTTTTTCCTTACTTGAAAGCTCCTCTTTCAAGATTGGGGACTGTTGGGGAAAAAAAAAAAGAGTTAATGGTGAGAGTAGTAGGTGGTGTGGTAAAGGTGCCAGACTCCCATATGGCCATCCTTGGTTCAAGTCCCAGACTCAGAGGCTTAAAACTCATGCCAGACATGTGTGCATGCATGCCCAAAAATCTCAGGAGGATGGAGGAGAAAAGATGGCAGGGTGGCCATTCTGCCAGGGGAAGATTTCTCATTTTCCCTCTCTGTCTTTCTCTAGCAAGTGCACACACTCTATGGCAAACACCTAAAAACCGACAAATAAAAAAGAGTGAATGGGTTCTGAGCTAAAACAAAAACTCCAAGAAAGTTTCCCAGACCTGTCCTTTTCTTGGTAGGGTCGATGGAGAGTAATTCTTTTGGCTTTCAGTAAGGTATGGGGAAGACAGTCTTTACCCAGATCTTCCAAAGAGTTCCTGTGAATGGACAAAGGTCTAAGAATGACTCTGTTAGTTTCAGAAAAGAAAGAATCTATCCAGGTGAGAAAGACAAGTGGTATGGATGCCACCTCACCATGTTTCGTGTTCCTAGGCCACGTTTCTGAAGCTCCCCTGGACCACTAATGTCCAAAAGCATAATAATACAAATAACAATTAAAAATCAAAGCGCGATAATAGACAGTTGGTATGCTCCAGGCACTGTGCCAAGCCCTTCGCAAATATCAACTCAGTGAATCATCACAATAACTCTTTGAGGTAGGTACCCATTTTAAATGTCAAGAAGTGAAGGCTTAGCGAGTTTAAATAGCTTGTCAAAAAGTCATGAGACTAGCCAAATCCAGCAGTAAGGATTTGAACCCAGATCTGTTCAGCAGCAAAGCATGAACTACTCACCACAGCACTACACTCAGGACACAGCCCCGCCTGTAAGAGCGCTGAGTGAGCGGGAAAGACAGAAGGCAGGACTAAAAAAGTGTTTCCCATTATTCTCAATAGTGTGACATGACAAGTGACAGTGAGTGAGAGAATGGAAGAGGCAAGTACCCTCCAAAGGGTCTGGTCATGCCATGATCCCCTTTGTCTAGTCCCATAACCCACCGGATCTGGGGCCTCATGTATGTGCCTGGTGCATTTCAGGATAACTGAGCTGGGGCATCAAACTGAAGTCACTATGTGGAAATCTGGCTTTTTATTTTTCTGTAGGGCATATATGCTCACTAGGGAAACGGGGGTGGGGGGGGAGGAGAGCTCCCCAAGGAGGATGGCCATGCTGCAATCATTTCTCCTTTCTGGACTTAGGCACACATGCCCACACTCCTGGCATGATTTTAGAGCCACCAGGTCCGGGACTTGTGCAGCCAGCCATGTGGGATCCAGCTGCCCTGACCACCACGTCACTGGTGGGCCTAGAGCCCAGCTTTTCTTGAGCAGCACATTTCTGCTCTGCCATGGGATCAGTCCCAAGATTTCAAAACATTTTAATATCTGCCTCTGTGCACACACCCATGTGCAAACGCATGTATCACATATGTGGAGCACTCTTGAGTGGTTTTGGAAGATCCATCTCATTTCTCATTTGATTCTCAAATAACCCTGTGGGGTAGGTTTTATAAAGTGAAGCCTCCCATTGCTCAGGTAAGGTCAGCAGGTTACAAGTTAAATACTGTGTCCAAACCAAACTTCCTTGAACATTGCTTGAACTTACGTCATTTGATGGATTTTTTTCCAAAATTTTAATTATCATAATTTTTAAAAAATTATTTAATTTTATTTATTCATTATAATTTGACCAGACACACACACACACACACACACACACACACACACACAGAGAGAGAGAGAGAGAGAGAGAGAGAGAAAGTGAGAATGCAAGCCACTAGGTCCAGGACTCAAACCACAGTCAGCCATGTGGGAGTGTCTAGTACCTTAACCACCATGCCACCTGCTGTTCCCTCATTTGATGGATCTTTCACTGTACCACATTGCCACAATAACGAGACATACCCAGAGTCAGTGAACATTTATTAAACACCCCTCCTGGGTCAAATACTGTACATGGCTCATTCATAAACAGTAAGCAATTATTCATTCATTGGTCTTCACTCTCCACTAACGAGACTGTCACTGTGGCGGCCTCCAAGTCTAATAAAGGTCATATGAAGGAACAGTCATTCCTTTCCCTCTGTTTTCTAGGTACTCTCAGTAGCTTAGACCAAGCTAAGTATTTCACAGAAGGGTGGTGTCACCGAAAGGACCAAGCAAGAAAGGAAAGCTAAATGAATGCTGAAAAACACAATTCCAAAAGTCTTGAACCAATGATGGAACGTTAACAGTCTTTTTATTCTCTAGGTCTGACTCATTTTTTTTTTTTAAAGCTTTTTGTCATAGGGTGTGTGCACTCACCAGAGAAGGACAGAGGGGAAAGTGAGAAATCACAACCCCAGGGGTATGGCCATGCCACAATCCCTTCCCCTCCATCCTCCTCCTGGGATATCAGGAATGCACATAAGAGTGCCTGGTGTGATTTTCAGGCTATCGGGTCCAGGACTTGAACCACAGCCTACCACGTGGGATTCCAGCTCCGTATCTACTATTCCACCTGCTGGCCCTGGTCTGATGCATTTTTTAATGCTATCATATTTCTGTTTTAATCTACCTCCCATCTCTACGATACCCTCTGGCTTTGCTCCTTAGAGGGTCAAAAACGGGAAGGCAGTTCATGAAGAAAGGAAATTTTCCTATTGAGGTCCACCAGGAACTCAGGACTTCCCCTGGACCCTTTGGACCTCAAGCCTTCCTTCACCCACATCAAGTGAACGTACTGCCAAAGTAATTTCTGACAACTGTCATTCCAGGCCAGGAGATCTCAGGCAGACTTCAGAGCAGTGGCGAGATAAATAGTAATAAATAAGCACTAAATCGTGAGTACAATTACTCAGGAAGCACATTAAATATTATTAATATTTTATTCGTTTTAGATAGTGAAACCTAAGTACACACCAGACAGGGCTTCTGCTTGATGGAACCAAGCTTCAAAGTGGTGGGCTGGGATTGGAGCGGACACTTCACTTCTGAGAATCCGTGGACCCAGAAGAGAACAATGGATGACTTCTATCTCCAAAGGTGTAGCACTGTCACCCGGAAGTGGTGGACTTCTCACCGAGCAGGACTTGTTAGAGAAGAGAGGCCAATGGCTCAACACGGAGGCTGCTGCTGTGTGTCTCACTGCAGACGGGATTACTCGTGACAGAAATGAGCAACGAGGGTCTCAGTCCAGTATCTTGGCTCCTCCTTGGCTCCTGGTCAGCCTCATGGGTATCTGACCTGCGGTCATACAGGGCCCTGTGCTCAGACGGACTCTGTGCTTGATTTAAAATTCTGCCATCATTGTCTTAAAATTCTTAATAATTTAATCTGTTTTTAAAATAATTCTATCATTGACCTTATGCTTTTGTGTTGCTCTTTTTTTTTTTTTTTTAGAGGTTTTTGCCTGAGGGTGCATATACTCATGAGGAGGGGAGGGGGAGAGAGAGAGAAAGAAAGAAAGAGACAACATAATGAGAGAGAAATTGAGAATTCACTCCCAGGGGGATGGCCTGCCACAATCCCTTCTCCATTCTCCCCAGCCCCCAATCTTTGGCCTGCACACACACCCACCCAGAATTTTTTTTTTTTTTGAGAGATTTTTGCTATAGGGCATATGTGCTTGCTAGAGAGAGAGAGAGAGTGAGACAGAAAGTGAGAAATCCCCCCCCCAGGGGGGATGGCCACACTGCAATCCTTTCTCCTCCATTTTCCTCTTGGGATTTTTGGCACGCATGAGTTTTATGCCACTGGATCTGAACCACGGTTAATTATGGGGTAGTCCAGTGATGTAATCATTACACCAACTGCTTGTCCCACTTAATATGATTTTCAAGCCACCGGGTCTGGGACTCGAACTGTGGTCGACCATGTGGGAGTCCAGCAACGTAACTGCTACCCTATCTCCTAGTCCTGATCTTGTGTTTTGTAAATGAAGTCAGTGAGGATGGAGAATGTGAGTGGGTAGAGAAGAGTCATGTGTGTGTCCACCATTCCTTGTGCTCCATGGTGTGGGCAGTGCCCTGTGAGTACAGAATCTTAAGGGAGCCCAGCAAGACACAAAGCAAGTAAAACATTAAGGTGATGACGGTGTGCCAACAGTGCCAACCGACAGTGCCAGCCCCAGGCTTTCTCTTGGAACCGAATACTTCAAGTGCGGGAAGAAGGCAGCGGGGTTCTAGAGAACACAGATGTCAAGGAACCCTAATGTACCACTTCTTACTGGCATTCCTCCCGTGTTCGTTCATCACCCATGAATGGCGGAAACCATGGCAAAGAGGAAAGGGGAAGACAGAGCAACCCGGCATGCCTTCACCTCTCAGCCCTTCTGTACTCACCAGCAAGCTGAAGGCAGAGTGCTGTGACAATGCGACATAAAAACAGTCGAGTTCACTGTATACACCATTTCCTTTGTTCTAGTGAGAATGAAATACCTATGGGGGGCAGCACGTGGTACGAGGTTAAGGTGGCTGGATCCCACATGGCCAATTCTAATGTTCAAGTCCTGGACCCTGTAGCTTAGAAAAACATCCCAGGCATGGGACCAGGAGATGGTATAATGGTTTCACCACTGGACTCCCACATAGTTGACCACAGTTCGAGTCCTGGACCCAGAAGCTTAAAACACACACACCGGGTGCATTGGGGCCAGCAGGTAGTGTGGTGGAGAAGGGTGTTGGATTCCTACATGGCTGACCGAGGTCTGAATCCTAGACCTGGTGGCTTGCTTTCTCACTTTCCCTCTCTCTCTTTCACTCTGTCCTTCTCTGGTCAAATAAAATAAATAAATAAATAAAGTTAAATAAAATAATTCTTTTAAAAAATCTATGGAGGGGCCAGCAGGTGGCATGATGGTTAAGGTGCTGGATACTCCCACATGGCCAACCAAGGTTCAAGTCCTGGCCCTGGTGGCTTCCTTTCTCATTTTTCCTCTCTCTCTCTCTGCTCTAATTAAAATAAATGAATTAATAAATAAAATTATTTATAAAAAAAGAAAAACAAACCCAAAACCGATGGAGTTGTGAGACAGTTTATTTATTTATTTATTTATTTGGAGAGGTTTTTGCTATAGGGCACATGTGCACACCCAAAAGACAGAGAGAGAGACAGAGAGAGAGAGAGAGACAGAAAGCGAGAAACCCCCCTGCCAGGGGGGATGATCACGCTGCAATCCTTTCTCCTCCATTTTCCTCATGGGATCTTGGGCATGCACGCACACATGCCCAGCATGAGCTTAAGCCACTGGGTCTGGGACTCGAACCGCAATTGACTACATAGGAGTCCAGCAACATAGCCATATGCCAACTGCTGGTCCTAGGATGGCTTATTTTTAAACACCACTTTGTAAAGGTTACCTATAAACGATAATTAAAGAAAAAAATACCTATGGCGCCAGCAGGTGGTGGGGTTGTTAAGGTGCTGGACTCCCACAGGGCCAACCACTGTTCAAGTCCTAGACTTGGTGGCTTGCTTTCTTACTTCCCCTTTCTCTCTGTCTCATCTGGTGAGAGCACATGTCATAAATTAAAAATAATACAATAAATAAAATTGAATAAGTCTTAAAAATGAACTATGAATGCATGACCTATGAAATACAAATTGTCATTTTGGTGATTCTGCAAACAAGTTAAATGCTCTTATATTTGCACTTAAAACTGGCATCACATAAGAGAGTAGAATGATAAAATTCATGCTAATAATTCTTTTTTGAGGAGAGGTTTTTTCTATAGGGTGCATGCACTCACCAGAAAGAGAGAGAGAGACAGAAAGTGAGAAATCACCCTTCAGGGGGCATGGCCATGCTGCAATCCCTTCTCTTCCATTCTCCTCTCGGGATCTTGGGCACGCACGCACACATGCCTGGTGTGTGTTTAAGCCACCGGGTCCGGTACTCAAACCACAGTCGACTACATGGGAGTCCAGCGACATAGCTACCATGCCAACTGCTGGTCCTCATGCTAATAATTTTAATTTTTATATAGCAGGACATCCAACAGCAAGTAACAAACACCATGAGCAGTCTAGATACGAACTGTGGAAGAAAAGGAAGCTTTATCGTCAGTGCCTTTCACATGCTCTTTCTGCTTTTTCAATAAGGAGCTCTGTTTTCGTCTTGTACCAGGCCCCACAAATTACATAGTGGCTCTGTTCCTGCCCTTGTTTTCCTTCTGACGAACAGAGGGAAAGCACGAGAGCTCATTCAAGGTGGTGAGGAGAGCTGGACTTTGTTCTTCTCATGAATGTAGAAGTCGGCTTGCCGTAATGCTTCTTCACGTTGCCTAAAGGGGCAGCTGACACTCCTGAATGAATATGAGGAAACCCAAGGCACATTCCGGTTCACCACATACACTCAGGGACGTCAGATCCACCCCCAATCTGAGTGTGGCTTTCCGGACTGGCATCTTCAGGTCCGAGAGAAGGGGAGGAGGTCCGCTCCCACGTGTACTGACGTGAACTCGTGGATGCCAGCTCTGGCCACGCACGTGCATTGCAGGGGTCTCTGCACATGTAAATGCAGGCCCATGTACACACGTCTACATGGGATGTGTGCATGGGCGCCTGGTACAACCTGAGAGAGGTGGTCTTCCCCTGGATTTGGGTGCTGGCTGATGGGCACCAAACACCTTAAGGCTAGGGTGCAAAAAGCGAAGAGTATGCGTCATTCTGGTGTTCTTCTAGATCCTGCTCCTCAGGAGACCCCAGCTGAGAGTAGAGAGATACTGATGGGTCTGGGGGACTGTGGAGATCGCATGGCTGTATTTCCAGGACTGATTTTTTTTTTTCTTATAATCACTTTACATCAAAAGGAGGCAATACATGTTGACTTATGTCAAGACCAGAAGCAAGTTTCCTTCTGAGAAGGGCCATATGAGTGACCCTAATGCTTCCCAGGCTGTGGAAGACTCCCCCTTTCTTTTGCTGGCCCAAATGGCAGAGCCACTCCCTAAGGAAGACCTTAAGTGATGCAAACAGGAGGTATCAGGCAGGCTGCCTGGTTTTACTCCTCACGGGGAGGTCTGTAAGGATGGAGCCCCCACTGTGAGCTGGACAGGATGCTGGGCTGTCCTATGTCTGTCCTTGCTTTCCATTATTCTAGCTCCTGGGGGCTGTGGCAATGGTGAGCTGACTCTCATTTCAAGCACCCTCCCAAATCTCCCACTTCCCTACTGAAAGAGGCTCCTTGCTCATGTTAACCTGGTGACCAGCCGGCCTGCGGGAGGAAAGAACACACGAACTTCCTGCTTCCCCTCACATCCCCACCCAGGCGGTGCCTCCTCCCAAACCAGTCCGAAGACCCAGTGCTTGTTCTCCTCCTCCGATTTCCAAGTTCATTTTAACCAGACATTCAAATCGTAACCTGCATCTATATTTAAGGACCATGGTGGGGGGTGAGTATTCCCTCCCCCACAAGAGACTTGTGTTCCACCTCTCAGAAGTGGCTGCACTTCAGAGGGGAGGTGATTCAGCTTTCCTAGAAGATCATTTGCAGGGGAAAAAAAATACAGTACTACGGCTGAGAGTGCTGCCTGCTTCCCTAGATTCAGAGAAAAAAAAAAACCTGCTCTCAGACACATGGAATTCCCATTGACGAGGTCTGGCCAACTCCAGGCGCTGAATTTTCCCCATTAAACATACAGCTCCGAATGAAAGATGCGGGGGCAGGAGAAGGCATAAGGATACCTTTCCAGCCCCTACAGCCCTCTGGAGGATTTGAACTCTGGCCCCTAAGGTCAAATAGCTGATGTTCAAAAGCCCCCTCTCTTCATCCCTCCACCTCTCTTCCCCAAGCTCCTTCCTAACAAAGAATGACTCTCTCCGCTACACACAATAAAACCCTGGGGGATTTACCCAGATTAGAAAACCCCTTGAAGTCCATGTCAAAACTAATCTTCTCAGGAGAAACACTTGTTGATAACGACCTCGCTTTGTGCAGCAGAGAGGGAGGATGGGAAAACGGGCCTCTGACCTCCCTCCCCATGCCCACATGGCACCAGCACCTGCACAGTCCCTGCCCTCCCAGAATGCCCCCACCTCAGTACACGCCTATACTCTGCAGCCCCCCCCCCGCTTCTCCACCTCTGATTCAGCCCATTTTAGCACTGGCCCCCCCAAAGCAGGGAGGCCAACCCTCCAGCTTCCCACTGACAGGACCCTGGCTGGGCTCCAGTCTCGCACAGCACCTTTGGTGCCCTGGCAATGTAACCCTTTACCCTGCTAGGTCAACCTCTGGTCTTCTGCCGCAAAGTTTGTGGGGCACCTTTGCTGGCCGTTCCCCCACACAACCCGCCCTAGGA